CCATTCCCTCTGACAGGATTAAGTTGAGGTCTTTGATTGGTTCGTTGCTTCGCGCCACACCTCGAGAGCAGATTGCTAATTGGACAATTACGTTGATCAAATATAAAAAACAGACGCGTTTACTTCAGAAAAATAAAAAAAAGTTTTTCAACAGTTCGTATCGCTGTAATTCTATTCTTACTTCCAAACTGTATTTTCATGCTTTCATAATGTTTTGACCCGAGTTTGGGGTTTCACTATTTTTCCATAGCTGGGACCCCAACAAATACCACTCCAGGTTAGGGTGAATCTGGGAACAACAGAAATTAACATGAGGTTCCATGCTCCTCAAAACCTTCCAATCAGAGGTCTTGCTGTCAGATGTAGTTTATTGCCACACCCATGACAGAATATGAAAGGAATGAGGATGAATCGACTCAGTGTGCATCGCATGGCAGGTCATAGTTGGGAAGGTCTTGGACTGGTGGAAAGAAGGAATTTAATTCGCCCAAATATCTGCCATGAAAATATCGGTAGTGTTTTAAATTTTGTATGACGCTCATGGTTTCTGATTCGTAAAACTGTAAGGAAAACATTGGAAACAAATGAAAAGCGCTACGCATTTACGAGCCACTTTTGTCCCTATTCCATGAGCAGCCATTCTACTGATAGCGGATGGACAAGTCTATGTTTCACTTATAAGTGTAGAGAAAGTTAGTCAGTCTTTCTACGCAATGAGTAACGAGAGGTTAGTAATGTTTCGTCTGTGGGGAATGGGTTGAAGGTTGTAAAACAATTTATCACCCATAAGGGCGCGTAGTTATTAATGCGTTTGAAGAATTTACTGCTTGTGACTAACAAGGAAAAACCAGTGCTAGATTTTGATATTTATATTTCGCTAAAAGATAGACTGATTGCAAGATATCATGGGGTTGGAACAAAAAAGTTTAATATGACATCCTACACGCGCAAGTGTACGTAGGGATTAAAAACATTCCCAGTGTCAGCAATTTTTGGAACTAGCGTAAGGAAGTACCTCTGACTCGAGACAGAAATTCATATATAACATATTATCATTCAAGAATTATATACGGTCTATTGCAAAATAACAGTCCAATTTTATACGGTCAGCGCAAAATAACAGTTCAGTTAGAACTTTATAGAGACATAACTGTATTTAAAAAATATTTAGAAACAATCTTTGCTTCTTCTCTCTCTCTCTCTCTCTCTCTGAGTAATCTTTTGCAACCTAGTGACTTTTATTTACTTTGTTTGGGATGAGATTCCTGTTGATCGAATATACTACAATGATTTAATTCAGCATTGTAGGTTCGTGGACCCCTAGTTAGGAACTTGTTCATGCGGTCTCCTGATTGTGAAACACCAGCCTCCCAGTCCGGCATTTTTATTTTAGGGAGTTGGTAACCCTAAGCTGCTGGACAATGAGTTTTCGATTGTTCCAGGTCGCAACAAAGCTTGATAGATTGATTTTTTTACGGCTTATCAACCCTTTATGTGTTATTTAAAAACGAAACATAATTTGGATTGTAAGAAGAAATCTTTTTTTTTTTGCAAGTGAAGCAATAACCTTTTCCAGATACAAATCTTACTATTTATCTCACAGCTGGGTCGGGAGAGATGGATTCATATCGTAATGGTATTGACGTGTAAGTGGATGTAACGAACCCGACTGGAATTCGAACTCGACTCTCCGATTACTCATTCCGAACTGCTAACCGTTAAAACGCCCGTATATCTTCACAACCAAGGACCTTTAGGCTAATGAGCATATTTGAAAAAAAGAATGATCGTTCAGAAGACGTAAAAGTGGCGATTACCGATATCCCCCACCCACAAAAGGGTTTAAATATACCAAATTAATAAATCTTCTGATATTAATCCAACTTTTCAACACTAAAATAATATATTTTTAAAATAATTACCAACCATACACTTTATCATCTACAAATGAAATATCTAAAACACACATGTTTCTCTTGAAAATATAAAATTATGTACAAAATATCAGTAGTTGAAGCCATAAAATTGCGTAGAAAATATTCAGATTTCGGCATTAAATAACCCATAGAGATGTTGATATGTCACTAAATAAAATCATCCATCATTTATGGTAAAACCCTGGAAAGTATCTGTATAGACAAACTTGCACAACGACTACACGAGCACCTCACAGAATCCAGACCACGTCGCGTAGCCGATGTCATTGAACTGAAAGAAAAAAACTACACATTACGCAGTTGTTGGTGAGGCAGTTCGGTTAATGATAAAGCGTAAACAGTAAAGTAAATGTTAACCAGAAAGCAAATTGAAATTAAAAGCAGATTACGACGAGGTCTGTCGATGAGCCTGAGAAAGCAATGTGAAACGAGGGAAATAACTGTTTTGAAGGTGATGGTTTTCCACCTTTCGTCGTAAACTCAAGAAAGTTTTTTTTTTTTTTTTTGCAGTTCGTTTACTTTTTTCTTTTTCCCAAGGAAGAGGCGTGTTCATCCGTGCAAAGATTATTTAATCAAGGGGAGTTGAAAATGGAGAGAGCAAATATTTTTCTAACTGAAAAAACCGGAATTAGTTGTAAGATTTCATCGTATGTGTACCTATGTAATCTCTATACTCTTTGAGTCCCTGCAGCTTTTACAAGTAGAAAAATGTACTCACGATGTTAAAGATCATCTGATTCGTATTTTAATACCTGTTAGTTAGTATCACACAAGTCAATAAAAAGAATACCCGCTCGGCCCGGTGGCTAGGATCAAAGTGTAGTATCTGCGCTTTGTGAGCTGCCGGGTCGGGTGTCTGTCGAACTCTCTGCTTGCAGAGAGGAACCCGGACGAGGCTCCGCCGAAGGGTGGGGTTTCGTTCGGGGAGGTTGACGGAACTAGCCCGTTTGGACGGGTTTAGATGGGTTTTATTTTTGGCTGGGCCTACGGGCTCAGACATACCCACATTAAAAAGGCCTTGTGCCACATTCAATTCCTGTGGGTGAATTGATAAATACCATCACACAAGTCAATTGTAACGTCAACGAGCAGCATAGGTACTACATTCAGTTCTATGTGTGACTCGCGTGCGCGGAACTTCCGGCCAAGTGGCACTTGTCCCCGAAACTTTCCATTAATTTATCTACTTTTATTTTATTTTATTTTTTTTTTTAAATCCCTTTTGGAGATCTTACTGTTAACACACCAGTGTTTGACCTCGAAAAGAAAAGAAAAAACATTGCCTGAAAGAAAATTCTGCGAGGTAAGATACTTAAGCAAATCTTTGTTGATTAAAAGACTAGAACTAAAGAATTTCCAACAAAGCAGCAACGTATTTATTGTAGAGGTTAGAGAGAACAAGTACCATTTCAGGAACATATTTCTTTAGAATTATAGTAGGGATATCAGGAAGTCCGCATGCTTTGTGGGTATCCTCTTTATGGATAGTAGCAGAAACTATGGACGGATTTATCCGAATATTACATAAGATTCAGTTCTAATTGGAAAGTCAGGCACATATACTCCAGATGAAGTCAAAGGTAGAATTGAAAGATAATTTACGAGCAAAGCATTATGCTTCATCAGTCAAAGAAAATAACACCTCAAATTGAGTGAAGGGAGGAATGACAGAGGACTTACACTCATTTCACACACAAAAGAGCCGCCAGTAGCCACGAGAACCAAACTAGCCTCATTCTGTCAGCGAACAAAGACCTAGGCTCACAGAGAACACGTTTAAAAGCGAACACAAAGAGGTGTCTGTTGTGATCAGAATAATCACGTTGGTACAGCTCTAAAAAGTGACCCCTGTGGTTTATAGCGACTGAGAAGGCAAGTGTGAAATAAGGAGAAACTCGTGGTTTCACCTGGTATTTCCGAGATGGTACAAAGACATCGATTATATATATATATATATATATATATATAATTATTTATTCGAAAATTATAACATAAATATACAGCCATTTTGTTTCAACACTTCTGGTTTAAGTGATGGTGTTGAAAGTAGAATAAAGGGATTTAAACGGTTCAAATCAATCAAATACCCCTCGCTAGGGGAAACACTGTTACATAAATTGCAATGACCAATCAAAATACGAGAATTCAAAAATCTTGACAACGAACCTTGGTTATAATAATTAATGCTTTAATGTTATATTTGCTCTATTCTGTATTTAGCACTCCTTTAAGAATAGTATTTTTGGGTTATTGGAATTTATTCCGTATACACCAATTCTATATTTGGGTATCTATATATATATATATATATATATATATATATATATATATATATATATATATATAAATCAGTCAGTCATATTGACCGGCTAAGAGACAAAAGACAACGGCGAAAATCGTCAGAAAATATTCCTATTGCTATGTCTCGAGATTCTCGCTGTTGCTGACTTGTATGCAGGGACAGAAGTGTCACATATTATATAAACATAAAACTGAATGAGGTTGTCGGATCCTCATACATCGAAATCGGCGAGAGAGTCCACTGTATATATATATAAAGAATTAATAGATTTCGTTTTTAAGCTGACTGTGTTTCCTATTACTCTAAACGTTATTTTAGTGGATGCACATGTTTGAGCAGACTTGAGCCTTGTTTTTGTTTTTTTAACAGTGTAAGTTAGAAACTTACATTCAAGAAACTTAATGAAGGAAATGTATTTATATATATATATATATATATATATATATATATCGAGAGAGAAAGACTTCTCTAGATTAGTCGGTTGTTTTTGGTTAGCGACATATCAATCTACTTGGCTTATTTAATGCCGAAATCTAAATATTTTCTATGCAATTTTATTTTATTTTTGAAGATAATAATGGTTTGGTGATACAAGTCTTATTAATTAACCCATAGCTGGGGCGAGAAGAGGTGGATTCATACATTTCTCAAAGGTATTTGAGCTTAAGTGAATATGACAAACTGAACTGTAATTTGAACTCGGATCCCCTATTAACAATATCGAACCATTTTCCTTTACACTATCCGCACATTCAAGAAAACAGAGCCTGGTATTCTTAAGCGCTTACCCATCTAGGTGCTGACCATGCTTAACGTTGCTTAACTTCGTTGATCATACAGGAACCGGTGTTTCAACATGATATGGTCGTAAGCCCACTTCTTTAGAGAGGAGATAGGAATAGATGGATGATTATGAGACAAGTAGTCCTTTTGGGTCTGTATTTCTCATACTGAGGTTAATGTCAAGTTATCGGTTTTGTCCACTCAAAAACACATAAAATTCACTTCTGAATGAATTCAGAGGAAAAAAAAAGCTTTTTTCTCAGTGACTGTGATATATTCAGCACAATGTCTATTGCTTTCGATTTGTCTGTTGAAAGCCGCCATTTGGTTCATTTGTGCTGATTGATGATTTTCAGCCGATTAGCAATAACTGTTCTACCAATGCGAAAATAGAAAGGCAAATGGCGCAACCCTGAAAAGAATATGGGAGTCTGCGCCGACATAACGTTTTGAACATTTTCGCAAAAATGTGCTTTTCTTTTCAGAACATTTGTATATTAGAATATCTATACAATTTTCTCTTTGTTGTATTGAATTTAACCTGTAATTCTTTACAAACAGAAATGCCACCGATGAATGAACTAACGTCTTTGTTTGTACAATAAAATGTTTTCTTTTTGGTATGTTTATTCGTGTGTACATGGTTTTCAATATCTATTTTTCTTGACCTATCCAGTTAGTGCACTATCTATCTATCTATCTATCTATCTATCTATCTATCTATCTATCTATCTATATATATATTGATATGTAGATATATATATATATATATATATATATATATATATATATATATATATATATATATATATATATATAGATAGATATATATATATATGTGTGTGTGTGTTGCTATCTAACAGGGAATAAGTAAATATAATAAGTATCTATCTATCTATCTATCTATCTATCTATCTATCTATCTATCTATCTACATATCAATATATATATATATATATTGATATATATTGATATATATATATATATGTGTGTGTGTGTGTTCTTTATCTAACAGGAATTAAGTAAATATAATAAGTATCTATCTATCTATCTATCTATCTATCTATCTATCTATCTATCTACATATCAATATATATATATATATATATATTGATATATATTGATATATATATATATGTGTGTGTGTTGCTATCTAACAGGGATTAATTAAATATAATAAGTATCTATCTATCCATCCATCCATATATATATATATATATATATATATATATATATATATATATATATATATATATATATATATTATCTATTTATTTATATAGATAACTGGGAAAAAGAAAATATAATAAGTATCTATCTATCTATCTATCTATCTATCTATCTATCTATCTATCTATCTATCTATTAAGTAAGTCGGAACCTGTGGGTCGTGTCAGAGAGGCTAGTCTGGCTTACTATTACTAATAAGTAGTGAGTGAGAACCTCGCCGCAGGTCCCATTCAAAACTCCACGAGTGTAAAATGAACAAATCTGACCTAACCTATCCGTCTCGCTATCTAGCTATATCGACGTACTAAAGTTCACCCAAGATTCGAAAACCGTGCAAGATAGAGGCTTACCTTTAAAATGATCATGATGAATGCGGTGTGAAAGAGGAGGTGGTATTAAGTGACGATGATGAAGATATGCTTAATCATTACAACCGAGTAGCGAGTTTGATTCTCACTGGGTGGTCTCCATAAAATTCGACATAAAAATACAATAAAATTTGACATTTCATAAAATCAACTAACCTATCCTATCTGACTATCCTAGTTTCTTTCTTTCTTTCTTTCTTTCTTTCTTTCTATCTATCTATCTATCTATCTATCTACATGAGATTCGTCATATCTTTCTATGTATCTGGCAACTTAAATATTATATTCATATCTAGGTTAAACTTTTCATTATCTATCTATCTATCTATCTATCTATCTATCTATCTATCTATCTATCTATTAGGTTAGTTGGCACCTCGAGGTGGTGTTACAAGGCTTGTCTGATTTACTATTAATACTAGTTTAGCCATGCTGTCTTTACTGTTATTAGAAGGTTTTAACATTTGAGCCGTTAATAATATTTTTTCGAATTATTATTTTACACGGGTCTTTCACGGAGTTACACTTTTCATCTCAAACATATGATATTCAGGCCACCATATTCGTAACAAAACGACTGATCCTTGGCGAGGGTAGTGCAAAGAAAATAACTCTGAAAAGGAAAAAAAATACAGATATTGCATACAAAAACAATATATATACACCGTCTGTGGGTGTAAAACTGCATAGGGAGATTTTTTAAAGTTTTTCATCTACCAGCTTTGTAAATATCCTGGAAAAGGCCATCATTTTCACGTCAAAGACACTGCCCCTTAGCGGCACAAGTGCAAGAGAAATAACTCTAGAAATGCAAATGATTACATGATTACAAATATGGACTATAATACACACACACACACACACACACACACACACACACACACATATATATATATATATATATATAATGCAAGGATTGTATTTACCAAAATGTATTTATAAACAAAAATAACGTTAAGTTTTAAAAATATTAAATTTAAGAACGTTATATTTTTAAACGCTCTAAAAATATTCTATATATATATATATATATATATATATATATATATATATATATATATATATATATATATATATATATATATATCTGCAGAATAGTCCAACTCCACTCCGAAGAGTAGCCACATATCTTCGTGACCACGAAACTCCGAAGTCAACACGACGGAAATACTGTTAAATGAAAAAAAAAATTTTTATATATATATATATATATATATATATATATATATATATATATATATATATATATAGATATAGATATAGATATATATTAATATATATTATTTTCATCTGAAATTAAAGCAAATATAAGAAGTTTAGAACGGCTCATGATCAAACATAATAGACATTAATTGTCTTTTATATTTAACAATATATGTTTAAATAATAATCTGTTGCCCTAATACACTAAATTCTAGTTATATGATCCCGCGGCATTAAACGATTCCAACATCAAGAAATTTCAATGGAACCACATTAAACGACAAATAAACACAACCAAACAGGAATTACAATGTCTCAACACTGAAATTGTACGTATTAATGGAATCTTCTACCACAACTGAAAAATTCAAGGAAATATTGTGTTTAGTATATAATACAACACAAAAAGAAAATGAATCCCATAACCAAATCATCAAAAAAATCTAAACAAATTATATAAAAGAAAAATACTTTTAACAATATCAACGAAAACTTCATTAACCTATCCGCTTACCAAATCATTCCAAATGAAATGGAAATTCTTAATCTTGGACCAAATTTTCATGTCGCACAGAAAACTATTTTAGTGTTTAGACAAACGCAAATTAATGCTTTATGCCAACAAATATTTCTATTGGAACAAGACAACCGTATTATTACACAGGTAGGTTTAAAAGAATTACTTATAGCCGAATCTATTGAACACCGTTATCATAAAAATCCGAATGGAATTATAAACATTCCTTTAATAAATGCAGCCGCACAGCTAAAAAATAACAACAGTATTGTTATCCGACGAACTGATAAAACTAATACTTTCATTATTTTAAAAAAAACATGAGTACTACTCAAAATTAGAGGAAATTTTGGAGGATCATAAATTTAAAAAGTTAACCAATAACACCACTTCCCAACTTAAAAACCATATCAATAAACTTATTACTGTTAAGAATGCTGAAACAGGATCTTATAAACTTCAAAAGATTATAGATGATTATCAACCTGGCTATCTTTATGGAAATGTAAAAATCCATAAAAAAAGATTATCCCCGCCGACCTATCATTTCACATAATACCTACACCAGTATATTACCGTTCAAAAACCCTTAATGAATTAATTTCTTCCTACCTTCCAAGTAAATATTGCATTGACACCACAAATGAATTTATGCAAATTTTTCATGCTGTAAAACTAAACAACCAACTAATTGCATCTGTGGATTTACAAAATTTATTTACTAATGTCCACATCCATGAAACGACTGACATCATTATCCGTGATGTATACAATCACAATTCTCTCCCAACCATCAATATTAAACCTACTATTAAAAAAATATATATTATTAGCATGTATCACTCAAGTACCATTCATGACCCCTAGGTAATATTTATACTCAAATAGACGGTATTGCAATGGGATCTCCTTTAGATCCTCTTTTTTCTAATTATTATATGGCACATTTAGAAAATAAAATACTTAATGACACTAATAAACCCCCTTTATATGTAAGATACATAGATTAAATTTTTCGTTTTAGCTAAAAATATTGATCAAATTACACAACTTAAAAACAAATTTGAAAATCACTCCGTCCTCAAATTTACATTAAAGCTTAATATTATTAATAAAATTCCATTCCTTCATGTATTTATTGATTCCAGCACACATAAATTTACTACTTCTCTATATATGAAATCCACTAGTATTAACTCGTGTCAATGCCCCCAACGATATAAATTAGCCGTTATAAAAAACTTAATCCAACGCACACAAATGATATCTTCTTCCAAAACCATATTCTATAAAGAATTACATAACATTAAATAAATACTTGTTAAATAATTGATTTCCTAATTCCGTCATTGATCAAGAAATTAAAATGTATCTCAATAAACTTAATAATACTTCCAACAAAATTGATAATATATATAATAATAGTGAATGTCAAAATAAACATAATACTATTAACTTATATTATTGTAATCAAGTGCATAATAATTACAAACATGATGAAACAACCCTCAACAGCATAATAAGTAGAAATGTTAAACCCATTGATAATAATAAACTCGTCATATATTATAAAAATTTGAAACCAATTGACCTCATAGTCTCTAATAACCCTATAACCACACAACTAAATACTCTACAAAAAACAATGTAGCGTATCAATTTACATACCTGTTCAGAGATTGTATCCCTGATACTAATAATAAACCCACTACATATATTGGTTTTACTACAACCTCACTCTTCCGTAGACTTAGCTGTCACCTTTATGATCTTAGTTCTATTAAACAACATTTCTTAGAAAAACATAGCCGTGTACCTAATATAATAACACAACACAAACATAGCCATGTACATAACAAATTCACACATTTATATTATTCGGACTATTGTCCTCATCTTTGTTTCCATATTTATTACAACGTTTCGGCCGTTGTACGCTCCGGCCTTCTTCAGGTGGTTGGGATGTCAAACTGAAACCTTTATTTCGCTCACTGGGGTAGACTGTTCTAGTTCCACGTGCCATGTTTAATGGATGTCATTTATCAGTTATATCCTGTTAATTCCTCTCACCAAGTTCTCCACTGCCTTAACCGCGTATTGAACTCACACTCTTTGGGTTTTGTCACTGGATCTAATTTTATCCACTTTAGGACATCTGTGTATGAATTTCTGGGTATTATAAACCTAATCTCGTCAGCAATCATTTTTTACCAGTGCTCATATTGCAATTTTCCTGTTATCATTGCATGTTTTTACCAGAGCTCATATTGCAATTTTTGTTGTTTTCATCGCTTTTCTCTGGCACTCCTTATTACTGGTTCCCATATTGTATTCATTTCTATGCTTGATCGTCTCAGGAGATTTTTGTGGACAAGCATATGTGCTGATTCCTTAAGTTTACGAATGGTATTTTTGTCTATGATCTCAACCTGATCCCACAGAGGGCGGTGATCTCCCTTTTCTCTCCATATGTGGTCAGCCACGCCTGATTTTTCATATTTGTTTTTTCTATATATATAGATTTTTAATATGGTTTTTCACCTACTAGCATTGTAACTATCTTCGAACAAACAAAATGCTTTCTGGTGAGGCCAGTGCAAAGGTGATCAAGGCAGGTAGTTGCAGAGCCTAAAATTATACAATTATCTACTGAGCGATTATATACAAAGATTTTTTTTAAAAAAGTGATATACTGTGGCTATCTTAGGCTTTCAAAAAGTCAGTTTATCCAGTCTCATCTTTTATTTGTTCATGACTAACATGTGGTAATGACCATTGCTAATGCAGTCATCTGTCTGCTGTTGAAACACGCGAGTTATAAATTGAACAGTTTGAAAGTTACGTTTTACTATCTGCGATAGACAGTTTGTTAGCAAAGGGATGACTCCAAAATGCAAATCAGAGATACCAAAAATCAAACAAGTACACACATTTAAGTATCTGGGAAACGCTTGAACAGAGAACGGAAAGTGCGAAGGTGAAATACGAAAGCGCCAAATATAATTTTCAAAAACTAAGCAGAGTATTAAGAAACATAAAATCTTCGCCAGAAACAAAGAAAATGTTACGTGATATCTGTCTCTCCTATATGGCAGTGAATGCTAGACAGTCTCTCAAAGATGAATCGACTTGAAACTTGAAATGTGGTTCTACAGAAGGATGCTGAGGATACCATGATCCGAACATGTGAGCAACGATGAAATTCTATAGAAAATGGAAGCAAAAAAAGGAAACGTATAATTTATATCAGGAAGAGACAGTTGAAATTTCTAGGGCACATAATGAGGAAAGAAGGCTTGGAAAATCAGATACTCATAGGATAGAGTAGAGGTAAGAGGGACAGAGGGAAAAAAACGTATGATGCGCTTAGTGAGTTTGAGTAAATGGATGACGGAACAGGGTTTAGGAGCAGATAACAAAAAAACAACCCCCCTCCAAAAAACAAATGTTATTAAGAGCTTCAAATGACTCTTTGTGGAGAGCCATGAATGCCTATGCCCTGAGGAGACATGGCGCATAAAGGAGGAGATAGGCAGGCAGCCGCGCGATTTGCAGGGCAATGCTCTGCTTTTTACCTTTAGCCACAGCGGGCAGATCATTGTAATGTTCATACGAAGAAGCGAATGAAGCGAATAAAATAATGCTAAGCAAGCAAAGATAGACAGCGTAATCTGAATCGGAAGAGAAAGTCGATGTGTATACTTAATGTTCGGTTGTTCCAGTACAAAGCAAGTTACACCGTAATTCGAAACGGCTCACTTCTTTCTCTCCCACTGTCTCTCTCTCTTTCTCTCTTTGCTCTTACCCTGGCTTTGTTATTTATTCAAGGTGTCGAACGCCGACAGTATTTTTTCTTTTTTAAATAATAATAAAATAAAAAAAATATCACCGGCAACATGACAGTTGAGCTGTACGATAATTTATATCAGTAAAAACAGTTTAAAGTGTTTTTCTTTTCTTGTTATAATGTTGGAGGCGTGATGTTGCATAAAACTGTAATGTTATATTGGCCGGCCAACAGGCTTGAGGACCTCTGAAGTTATGTTTCTAGAATTTTATTTTTATCGCTTTTGTTTGTCCGTAGATAATGTATCATTCTGAAGTCGCCATGTCGGCAAAGGTTAAGTTCAAAATTTTCATTAAAGAAATCTGTACAATAAAACAGTATAAACGATGATATTAGTAAATGAGGCAGGATGGATAGATAGATAGATATGAACAGAATGAGATAGATATAAATATAGACAGATATGAACAGAATGAAATAAATAGATAGATATAACATTAACTATAATCATATAGATAGATAGATAGATAGATAGATAGAGAAGTACATGAGATAAATATAAGTACAAGAGGATAGATAGATAGATATGAACAGGATGAGATAGATAGACATGAACAGAACGAGATAGATAGATATGAACAGAACGAGATAGATATATAGATAGATGTGAACAGATTTAGATAGATAGATAGATAGATAGATAGATAGATAGATAGATAGATAGTGAATGTTATTATTTATCTATAACTTCCTAATAAAATTCCAGAGGTTATGAAACGAATGTGTTTTCGGCGATCTCTTATACCTGTTTTTCCTTAGAGAAGATTTTCCCCAGCAAAGCGTTTTTGCAGCAATCGAAAAATGTAGTAATCGGTTAGTGCAAGGTCAGGCGAATATGGCGAGTGGGTTAGAACAGACTAAATGAGTCGTCATTTTTTTTCTGTTGGCGAGCACCAGCCGCTTTTCGATCAAACATTTATAGATACGTTCCAGCTGCTGGACGTATCAGTGTGCATTTCGTGTTTCATTACAAACTCTAAGTAATGCCCCGACTGTCTTACCACACGCACACTATTACCATTCTTTTATGTAGCTCAGCTTTTGGGGTTAGTTATGGAGATTTGTCCTTGTACATCCATTATCTTTTCGTTGAACATAGTTGTATATTAATAGACTCCAACTTTATTCTTAACTCACACTGTAATTAGTTATTAGAATGATATATTCATCAGTACAATTAGCTCCCCAAAACGTGAATTAATTATGATTCAACCTAACACATTGTACAAGTTGGTTGACTTTGTAGTTGAATAAAGCCTTTTTAGAGGGACATGTATCGGGTTGGTGCATAATTACTAGGCGTTTTTTAAACACTATTTATTATGAAAAAAGAAACATAACAATTCAGCAATAACAGTTTTAAATGATTATTCCAGAGCGTATGATTATCGACATGCATTTTTATAACATGAAAATAAAATATTTTTATTAAAAAAAAAAGGTGGACAAAACAGCAATTTTTATTAACAAATAACTCGCCTACAAAATCGCCTGATAATTATCCACCAACCCAATGTCATCATACATAGCAGCTGCAATTACGAGACCACTGCTGGACAAATGTCTTTCTATGACGGTGATAATTTTCTACAAGGAAAAAACCTCTATTTAATCTTCTGCCTGGTCTTTTCCTACTACACTTTCTATCTATTGAGCAGCATTTAAGAAACCTTTTTTTTTTCTCTCTCTCTGTTATCCTTCCTTTTCTCTCTCTCTGTTATCCTTCCTTTTTTCTCTCTCTGTTATCCTTCCTTTTCTCTCTCTCTGTTATCCTTCCTTTTCTCTCTCTCTGTTATCCTTCCTTTTTTCTCTCTCTGTTATCCTTCCTTTTCTCTCTCTCTGTTATCCTTCCTTTTTTCTCTCTCTCTGTTATTCTTCCCTTTTTTCTCTCTCTATTAACCTTCCTTTTCTCTCTCTCTCTCTCTGTTATCCTTCTTTTTCTCTCTCTCTGTTATCCTTCCTTATTTTTTTCTCTCCCTCTGTTATCCTTCCTTTTTTCTCTCTCTGTTTTTATTCTTCCTTTTTTCTCTCTCTGTTATTCTTCTTTTTCTCTCTCTCTGTTATCCTTCCTTTTTTCTCTCTCTCTGTTATTCTTCCTTTTCTCTCTCTCTCTCTGTTATCCTTCCTTTTTTTCTCTCTCTGTTATTCTTCTTTTTCTCTCTCTCTGTTATCCTTCCTTATTTTTTCTCTCTCTCTGTTATCCTTCCTTTTTTTCTCTCTCTGTTTTTATTCTTCCTTTTTTCTCTCTCTGTTATCCTTCCTTTTCTCTCTCTCTGTTATCCTTCCTTTTTTTCTCTCTCTGTTATCCTTTTTTTCTCTCTCTCTGTTATCCTTCCTTTTCTCTCTCTCTCTCTCTATCTCTCTGTTATCCTTCTTTTTTTTCTCTCTCTGTTATCCTTCCTTTTTTTCTCTCTCTCTCTGCTTTCCTTCCTTTTTTCCCTCACTCTGTTATTCTTCCTTTTTTTTCTCTGTTATCCTTCCTTTTCTCTCTCTCTCTCTGTCATCCTTCCTTTTCTCTCTCTCTCTGTTATCCTTCCTTTTCTCTCTCTCTCTGTGTTATCCTTCTCTCTTACTTTTATTTTGGTCGCTTAATCAATTTTATAATATCTTTTACTTTCCTCTTCTGAATTCTTTCTCTCTTGTCATCTTATACCGAGAATTACTATTTCCATTGTGCGTTTTTTTTTATCTTTCTAAGTTTATTTGATTTTTATTGATTTCATTAATTTTTATATTTCTCACTCCTAGTTGAAATTTTGCATGTATTATCAATTATGTTTTAATCATATTACAAAAGTGATTTTTCATGTTGTCTTTATTTCTACTACTGTAAATATCTCATTATATAGTCGGTATATGTCGTTTAATTTCATTTTCACTGTCTGACTCGACTTCATTACCTCTCATGAGATCTGATTCTAGACTTCTAATTTCGTCATCCAGTCTTCCATTGTTTTTTTATTTTGTTAATTTAAAAACCTAATCTAAGACATTGTCTCTTCAATGAATCTAACATTAAAAAAAATGTCGACTGTCAATCGTAGATGCTTCACGTAGCGGCTCGTTTTTTGTTGCAGATTGGTTTTTTTCCTGCTCTCATGAGATTTATTTTTGCTGAAAGTTTGTATCTGCAAGGTTTGGCTTCTTTTAGACTAACCGTGTTATTAGTAAGTAGTTTTCTTTTTTTTATGTGCCGTGTCATTTCAGGACGTAGGCAATCATGGCTCTCCACTTCCCTCTCTCCCTTGCAGCTCTCAACAAGTTCCTTCCCTTTGCTACCTCCCCCAGACCACTTTCTGTCATCCACTTGCTTAAGGCCGCTAGGTATGTCACGCGTTGTTTTCTCTTGTCTCTCTTCCCCTCTATTCGACCTGTGAGTATCGGAATCTCCAGGCTTTCCTTCCTCATTATGTGTCCCAGGAACTTCAGCTGCCTCTTCCTGGTGTTAAGTATAAGCCTCCTCCTTGTTTTCATCTTAAGACCTCATCGTTGCTCACACGCTTGGTCCATGATATCCTTAGCATCCTTCTGTAGAACCACATCTCCGTCGCCTCAAGTATCTTCATCTTTGAGGAAATCGTCCAACATTCGCTGCTGTAAAGAACAGATGTCATGTAACAGTTCAGTATTCTTTTCTTTGTTACCAAAGAAATCCTCCTGTCTCGTAATACTCTGTCCAGTGTTTGGAATGCGTCCTTGGCCATTCCAATACGTGTACGGATCACAGTGTCGCATTTACCGTCCTCTGTCAGAACGCTTCTCAGATATTTAAACTTCTGCGACTGCTTGATTCTAGTGTTTCCGACCTGCAAATCGCATTTCGTGCTCATCCTTTTACCGATGACTATGCATTCTGATTTTTAGAACACTAAATTTACTTAATACTTGTTGCATTTGTTAAAGAGCATTCGTTGTCAGTCATTTATTTCTTCTGTTGGTGCCTCGAATTTTGAAAAAATCATCCAAATTATTTCTTTCCGGTTCATTAATCGAAGAATTCAAAGAATTCAACATGTCTTCTTTCGAAATTTGCAATTTTTTAAGCAAAGTATGAAGTTTCTAATCGTTCCAAAACTTCATATTTCCAGAAAACAGTTTATTTTCCCAAAGTCTTAATTTTATCAAATTGAAACCCATTTTCAAAAATGTAAAAAAAAAAAAAAAAAAAAAAAAAAAAAGAAAAGAAAATTTTCTACAGTAAAATTACCCATAAATTTATATACTATTTGATGCTTAATGAAAATCTTCGGTGATTATAATGCTTTATTAAGCGAAGTTTAGATGTTTCACAAGGCCGAAAGTATGAGGTACCCAATGAGGTTCGAACTCACTATTCAGTAACAAGAAAATTTTTTTAAGCGTAACTTAGATGTGGCACAAGGTCGAAAGTATGCAGCACTCAGTGGGGATCGAACTCACTACTCAGACGTAATTGATCTAGCGAGAAAATCATGCTAAAATTGCAACACGTCAAAGTGCCCACGAGTAATTTACTGAGCCGAAAGTAAGGAGCATCGATTTTATTTTATTTCATTTGTTTGTTTAACGGTATATCAACTTCTTATTGGTCATTTAATGCCAAAATTTAATTTTCTTAGAAGCTTTAAGGAAATAAAATTATGATATATGTTATTCTGTTTTAACAATTGAATACATGATAAATGATACTCAGCTTTGTGACACTCATGTTTGTGTAGAACTAGAGGAAGTAATATGTGTTTTTTATGTTGTAGTTTTGTTAAAGTTATATTTTGGAATACAGTTTGATTTCTTTCAGAAATTGTAGGATATTATATAGGCTAATGTCATGAAAGTTCTTCCATGTTGTTTGTTTGGTAGTATTTTAAACGGATTTGGGTGAAGTTGCTACAATTTGTTAGTGTGTGTTTTATTGTGTATAGTTCTCGACATCGGTATACACCAGAGGTGGTTCTTGTTTTAGAATATGAGATTGTTGCAATGGAATAGTTATTTATTTGTACTAATGTACAAAATGCGACACAAGGCCATAAAGG